GGGGGGGGGGAGGATGATGAAGAATAAGCATTAAACCACGATATAAGTTTTTAATTATTTTCCGTCATACTTTTCAAGAGTAACATGTGTTTTTCAAAGGGAGGTTTCCAGTGGATCTGTACACTGACTTCTAATTAAAGTTTACAAATATTAATGTTATTCAGACAAATATTCTAATTTGTTGCGTAAATTGTTTAGTTTGGATTCAACTAGTACCTGAATGTTGTTGAATCTACAGCACGGTTCACAGCTAATTTGCCCGCGAAGATGACAAGTCACTGCGTGCGGAAGTCAGGCTTGGATTAGTTGCCTCCCTCTTTTGAATGGCGAACTTTAATTGGTATAGGGATGGTGGTTTGTTAATTATAAATAAATATTTTTATCCTATAGCCTTTGTGATTTTTCACAAATTAATTTCCCATGTTAGAAACCTTGCACCATTCGACCCTTACACAGTACCAGCCACTATCGTACTAGCTGTTATAGGTCATATTCTAAACAGGAGACCGTTTCGCAATGCTTGATCTACCCCTGAAGTGACTCTCCACGTAGGAACACATGATCATCGATCTTGTTCTGGGTTTATCCGTGATCGCGTCCCTCCCTGAGCTGCGAACTAAACTAATTAAATGATGGAATATCTCTCTGAATATAATTAAAATGATCTTAAATTTAAAACTGGTGTCGTGGATCAGCTGATAATTTCCTGTTGAATAACACTTACTGTTTTTGAAATCAATAAATTAATAAAACTAATTGTTCACTGCGTATGCGGCTTTTTGAAAATGGAAAACTCGATTGACTAAATTAGGACTATTACGCCCCTGTTCAGTCATTTAATTGGTTTGGCATATCAGTTTTGCGGAAACCACATAGTACGGAACTACGAGTTCTGTTTTGCCTCTATGGATTAGATACCGGACACAGCATAAATGTACATCACTAACCTTCAAGCTTTGCACATAAGGAGTGACAGATGGTTCCTCATGATCAGATTGCATGGCTTCTTAAATCTACATCACTATAAGCTCAGTGAAGTGAGCTTATAAATCGAAAGGAAGAATTTTCATTGATCTGCTGAACGGGTTTCCTGTTTCGCTCAACAAAGTGATGTGGTTTAACATCGATGCAGTCGAGGTGATGTAATATCACGCAGCCGCGATATGATTAAATGCCTGTTGGGCATGTGCAAGCAGGGGTTGTTGCGATGATTTTATGTAAACTGGGAGAAATGCGTGCAAAAATAAACTGTTTAACGAAGTTAATGTTGAACAGCTCACATTGAATGATATGAGCTGATGACAGCTTTGAGGTTTCTACGTTATAACTCTCACAATTGTATTTGTACGAAGCCTTTTTGTAGACCTTGAAGGCGAAATGTTCCAACTGAATCAGTTAATGAACGAACAAAGGTCTTTAATCGAGTCTATGATGAATCTGTCGCTTACGGGTGCTAAAGGTATTTAGTTTTATGATGTTAGGTTTTATACTTACTAAACATCTGTGCATAGTCGATTCGTCCAACCTGTCTCGCCGTTTGCCAGAGAGCCGAAATGTGACTCATCAGCTGATGGAGCGAGTGCAGGGCTGTTGCGTAAGTTTGACTTACTTCCAGTTGCTTAAAAATCAGTAACTCGTGTTCACTTGTAGCACTTACCGGAAAATTCAAACCGATCGATTTTGATTGAAAGCGATCTGACGAAGCTCAATCCTGACACTATGATTCCGTGCCAACAGGTCCATGCATTCCTTCTGCCTGATGGCCTCATGCTGACGTCGTTTATGCCACAGAAGTAAACGGAGTCTCTTCTTCTTCTGAAAGGTTTCTTCTGCTGTTTATAACCGACGGAGTTCGATAACTTATGGATGATCATGAACATGTTTAACCGTTTACAGGGAATTAGCGAAGGACTTGTTTAGATTTTAGGTTTTTCTAAAAGTATTGCAAAATTTATCGCATTGTTCAAAGTAGTAATGGATCCTTTTGCCACCTATCGCCCTATCAATGGACCCTTTGTTGGTTTTAAGGTGACGATCGTTGGTTCGAAAATTATCACAAAAATTAACAGTTGAGATCTCACGACAAAAGGAATCGCTGGCTGTGAAAATGGGCGGTGCTAGGTTAAATGCTGCGATTGAGCAAGCAGTTTTATGTCCTGTCGGCATCCAGGTGCATGTGTGCATTTAGTAGATTGTTTGTGTATGTATTATATTGTTTGTGTTTATTGTGAGTTAGATTGTTTTTTAACATTACTTATTAAGTGCTAAGCTTTTGAAACCTCAAAGGATTTTGCTGCTAAAGTAGCGTCCTAGTGGCAATAAATTTTGGCCAGTGACATCGTTAATGAGAGTTTCGCTTAAGATTCGCTGAGTTAAACTGTTGTTAAATAAATGCGTACATTTAATGCAACAAGGTCAGAGACCAAGCAAGGTTTGCACTGGCTGGTTGACTGTCCATTTTTACTCTGCGGACTTGTGGCGTACTCAGCTTAAGAGATTAAGAATTGTTCAAAGCAGTATTGTAGGTGGTAGCCATTTTCGGCAGTCAATATTGAAGCTCCATTAGATTATTGTGTTCATTCATTTTCATAGTTCGTTATTCTTTGGGTTGCCAGGTCAGCAGCTTTACGAGTTTTTCCAAAGGTTCTAATCGTTCGCCAAGCAGGCAGACTCTACCAGATGGATTTTGGCAGTTCCAGGTATTGTTGAGGACCTGAGCCATCTGCCCTTTGCCTGCCTGCCAAAGACTTCGCGATGGGAGTCCAATTCGTCTTGTGATTTTGTCATCCAGTATTGTTACCGCTTGTCCAAACCATTGCAGTTAAAATCTTCAACCAGGAGAAGGAACAGTTCACAAATGATGGTACGTGATATTGCGACGTTCATCTTCCATCTTCTCTATCATCCTCCATAACCGAGTCTTCTTTTGGGTCGCGGAGACTGACACATCACACAGTTCTTTCAACATTCCTGATCCTGTGCTGTAGTCTGAGCTTCAGCAGCAGACAACC